GCGCAAAGGACGGATGGGTGGCACATGTGCTCGTCGGCGACGCATAGCTCGCCGACAACGCGAAGTTGGGTGACGACGCACAGAGGGCGAGATGGGGGCGGCACGGGCCACGGTGACACAAAAGGGTGGACGCGATAGTGATGGCACAGAGGATGGGTGAAGCATTAGGAGCATCGGATACCCTGACCCCAGCACTTCTAAAGGCTCAAAGCCAAAGACAACAGACCTACACCATTATACCATTACTTTTTTTTAAACGACCATTATATCATTACTACAAGTCTACAAGAGGACGGTTTGGAAAATTATCCGGTTATTATTATATATACTTTTGTGACGGGTGGGAAGTATCGGTGGACGGTGTGGGCTAGGTTTATGATAGAAGGCCCAGAAGCGGACACACCTCTCACACCGCAACCACGCGGGCTAGAGCCCAGAGGCACAACGCAGGCGACCCATGGACTGCTAGGTGCCGATGGCCGGCTCGGCCCGCCACGCGTTCTTCCCATCCGTTCGTCGTCCGTTTTCCCGTCCGAAAAAGCTTCCTGTCCGTTTAAATCTGGCGCTGTCGTTTCTGCTACGCCTAGCTATTTCAGTATTTCTACCCTCGGCATGCAGCTTCCCTTTGTGTCTTTATTTGGCCTGCTGTCCTTTTCGTTTTTCTAGCCCCAAGATGATTATATTTCATAAGATCATTGCCAAGGAACAGGAGTGCGTACGTGGAATATAACTTACCTTGAGCATTACCATCCCGCAGAAAAGTGAAAACCCGTTGGTCCTCCCATGAAATTATATTACAAGCTGAATCCAGACATATACTCATATAGTCACAATTCAAGCATCGTCTTTATTTGCGTATACTATTTCAGTTTTTTTTAACATAAGGGCAAGAACGATGGCAATTAAGGAGGAAATGAAGTTTAAGTTGGTCCACACCATGCCGAAACAGGACACAAGGGGATTCAACAAGCAAATAAAAAGCCCCCATTGAAAAACACATAGGACCAAAGCAACTGCAAGATTAGCAATGTCTTAGGAAAGCCTTCCTTCTTTTGAATATCCTCTCTTTGGCTCTAGTGGGCATTTACATTTGAGGAATGAGTGAGCACGTCCATTATCTACTTAATCCTCACTTTTTTATTTGGTTTGTAGAATGAAATAGGTTGATGCATCATCACCTCATTTAGGATGGAGGATTCCTCATAATAAGTTAATAAATAGCACTAGTATAAAAAATGGAGATATTCCACCAAATTTGAAGAATGGACTCATAATGCACCACCTCATTTAGGATAGAGGGATTCCTTAAACCAAAAGTCCTATTATTGGGGTAACAAGATACAATCTTAGAAGATGCATGTTCTTTTCAAATGTTCCACATGATATAAATAATTATTATTCTTATTCCTCTTTCCAAATGTGGAACAAACATTTGATATATTAATGGGTGACAAGATATACAATTTAGAAGATGACTGTTCTTTTCAGATGTTCCACATGATATAAATAACTATTATTCTTATTCCTCTTTCTAAATATTCCACATGATATAAACGACTATCCCTATTGAAGATACGCGTTGAGCCTCCGGATGTCGTTGATCCTCCCACCAATTAGCTATGGACTTGTCGTTATTATTTAGCCACTTCTCTCCTATATCTCAGGTGCCTGATTTTTTATTATTGTTCATGCAACATGCAGTTTTGTCATTGTTTGGCTATAGAAAATTTTGTTCTTTTGTCTCTTGTGAGTTGTCCTTTTGATAGTAATAGTTATCTCTTGTGAGTTGTTGCTTGAAAATTCTTAAAAAATCAGGCACCTGAAATATAGCAACTCACTTATTTAGCTGGGTCGTGTTGCTCAAAATGAATTGCTTCCAAGAGAGAACTTGTCGCCAAACGCGAGGCTCAGTTCTTTTCTCTTCTTTACTCGGCCCTTTACAGGTGTGTGCATGCAACATGCATGCAGCAGGGCGCCCGGATACAAAGTGAAGCGGTATATCGTCTATCAGATGTGTTCATCTACATCGAAGCATTTTAGTGAACAATGCTCAAGCACACTCCTGCGTAGAGTCCGGGGCACCAAAGTACCAAACTTGACGAGCAGTTTCAATCCACACCCAGTAACACTAAATTACCGAATGTACTGGCATGCTTCCTAAGTGCTGCAGCTTAATAATGTCTTGAACACACAAGTACCTGTGCAATAATACAACACTTTCACACAGTCTTGTTTGGAGCTTAGCAGCTGATCGAGAACGTGTTCCGGGAATATTTCGTTTCTCGTTTCGTGAACAATCAATATAGTGCAAAAAATTACTAAAAGTATATATGTCATTCCGGTAACATTGCTGCTTTTTTTTACGCGATCGGGCATAGCCCGTTTTTCCGGTAACATTGCTGCTAGAGTTCAGATCAGAGAAGTCTACGTACCTAAACCTCAGAGCCACCCACACGCGTGTACTTATTTATTTTCTAGATTTTTTAACGTATGGTACGTCTCTACTGTACAAAGTTACAGGAAGCTATACTACGTACTTAGAAGTTAGAAGTAGAGAGGGCCTCGGCACGGCACTTGGGCACCAAAATACTCCTTACGTATAATTAAGCTGCATGTTCTGTTCATCGACCAAGCGTGGCGCGAAGGCAAGCACCCTGTTCGTTTGGGCTGGTTTGGCTTTATAAGCCATGGTTGAAAATACTGTTGACAGATTTGGTGTGAGAGAAAAATAATATTTGTTGGTTGATAAGCCATGGCTTATAAGCCAAATACGACAAGCGAACGGGCTGAAGGCAAGAGATCACCGTTTGCCTAGTTGTGGCTCCCTCCATGGCCACCTGAACCTCTTTCGGAGGGCCAGGCGGCGGCTCCAACAGCTGAGTGGCCACCTCCTGCACGTACAAGTACTGCAACGGTTGCACATCTACGCTCCGACCGGTTACAGTTACAGTACCGACAAATCAATAGGTGGTGATCTCGAACACTTACGCTGCCAGCCGCCTTGTCGCCGCCGCTGCCACCCTCTCCTTCCTGCGGCGACTCCGAGACCGCAGCAGCAGCAGCAGCAACGTCGTCGGCAGCCGGATTGGGGTCGTCGTCGCTGCAGTAGCCGTGCAGGCCCAGGCAGCCGGCGCAGGGGCGGAGCAGGAGCTGGAGCAGCGAGCACGGGCGCGCGAGGAGCGGCGCCGAGGCTTCTTCTTCAACCACCTCCGCCTGCACCTTGATCAGTACACCCGCGGTCTCAGCTTCGTGCCCGCCGTCGCGCTGATCTCCGTGGACGCCCTCCGGCACCGCCGCCGCCGAGTTGTCTTTGCTCTTGCGCCGTTGATCCGACGATTCCTGGGAGCTGCGCTCCTCCTTCTCCCCGAGCTGATCCATTGCAGCTGCAGCCGCTCTAGCTAGCTAGACGCTGGGAGTTTCTGGAGACGGTGTCTCTAGCTCGTCAGTGACACTCTTGTGTTTCCCCTTTGCTCATCAACTTTTTTTGTGTGCACTGCACTCCCCTTTGCTTTCCCCAGTTCCGTGACGGGTGGGAAGTATCGGTGGACAGTGGGCTAGGGTTTGTGACGGAAGGCCCAGACGGCCGGCTCGACCCGCGCGTTCTTCTTCGCCCGACCGTTTTGCAGTCCGGAAACGCTTCCGTCCGTGCAGGTGCACGGTGCACCTTGCCCTCGTGCAACGAAGCACAGGCAGCTGCGGCCTGCGGGCGCGCGCGCCTGCCCCTCGCCCGCCGTCGCGTTCCGCACAAATTAAACACCCGTGGCGGCGTGGCGCTCGTTGGGCAGTACAGGTTCTGGGACTTCTGGCGCTCGGCTGCTGACTGTAGCGGCGCACGTACGTCGTCGTCGCGTACGCCCCGCGCAAGCTGTTCATGCGCGCGTGTAGTTCATAAGAGTTTCGGTCATGGGGCGTGCCAACGGCCAAGACGGCAATGGCCGGTAATGCAAGGCCGTCGCGAACGATGCATGGGGCCGGGTGGGCTGGTGGCCGCATGGAACCATCAGGGGAGCAACCTACGTATGTACGCACACGTACCGCAGGCAAAGTTTGCACAAATGCAAGGTCACGACTCACGAGCCCGGTCGTTGGGAGGAGATTTTGGCGCTGTCGTTTCTGCTATTTGCCTATTTCTGCCCTCGGTATGCTTACCTTGTGTCTTTATTTTAATTTTGGTCTCCAGTCCTTTCCGTTTCTAAAAACATCTGACCTGCCCCAAGGTGATTTCATCGGATCATTGCCAAGAAATAACAGGTGTGAATCCAAACATATTCATATTCATATTCATATAGCCATAATTCAAACATCATCCTTACCTAGTTCAGTTCTTTTTTCTACTCGAATGTGTGTGCCACATGCAGCATGGATGCAACCAAACCGGCCTATCCACTATCACATCTGCTCATCTATAGCTTGAGGGCTAATTTGGAAGCAAGGGGAGCCACACCGAGAGATGGAAACACTCCTCGAAGAACTAAATAATTATTCAAATTATTTCTCTATGGATTTCGTCCGGCCCTGAAAAAGTACGGAATCAAAGAGATTTGAGTTTCCAAATTAGCCCTGGTTCCCTGAATCATTCGGTGAACAATGCTCAAACACTCCCACGGGGCACCAAACTTCACAGAAGTAAAAAGAAAACAGTTTCAATCCACACCCAGCAGCATGTAATATGCTTCTTAAGTACTGGTGTACTGCAGCTTAATGTCTTGAACACATTTAATTAGAAAACTATACAACACTTTCACACACACAGTCTTGTTTGGAGTTCAGATCATCGAAGCCTACGTAAACCTCAGAGCCACATGCGCCCACAGGGGTACTAGCAGCACGTATTTGCTAACGTACTTTCTAGAAAGTTACAAGAAAGCTACGTACGTACTTGGAATAAGTAGAGAGGGGCATATGCATGTTCCGATGTTCGTCACTTGGCCACCACCAAAGCTAGCTGCCCATACATCGGCCAAGCGAAGAACGAAGGCAAGAGATCACCGTTGCCTTGCCTAGTGGTGGTTCCCTCCATTTCCACCGGAACCTTCTCTCGGACGGCCGGGCGGCGGCGGCCTCCTCGTCACTGCCCACACCTGAGTGACCACCTCCTGCATGTGCAAGGTTGCATATTTGCACGAGCGAGCTCGTTAACGAGCTCCGACCGGTTACCGTGTACCGACAAATCAAGCGGTGGTCTCGAACACTTACGCTAGCCGCCTTGTCGCCGTCGCCCTGACGATCTCCTTCCTGCGGCGACTTCGCGGCAGCCGCCACCGCTCCAGGCGCATCAACGTCGTCGGTACCGGTGGCGGCAGCCGGCTTCGGGTCGTCGTCGTCGCTGCAGTAGCCGCGCAGGCCCAGGCAGCCGGCGCAGGCGCGGAGCAGGAGCTGGAGCAGCGAGCACGGGTGCGCGACGAGCGGCGACGCCGAGGCTTCTTCAGAGCCGCCGACCACCTCCACCTCCACCTCCATGAGCACACCCGCCGTGATCTCCTCCGCTTCGTACCCGCCGTCGCGCTGATGATCCGTGGACTCTCCGTGGTTGTTCATGCCCGCCGTCCCCTCCGCCGCCGCGTCGACGTCGTCTTTGCGCCGATGACCCGACGAATCCTCGGAGTTGCGCTCCTCCTTCACCCCGCCCGCTGATCCATTGCGCCTTTGGAGATTGACGACGCTGACCTCAGTTGTGCTTCTTGCCTTTGTCCCCAGCTCTCAGCGCGCAGCCGCTCTAGCTAGACGCTGGGAGTTTCTGGAGAGCGTACTAGTTGGGAAGTCAGTGACACTCTCCTGATTCCCTTTGCACGTCAACTTATTTGTGTACTCCCCTTTACTTTCCGGGAGGTCTCCTTCCCTGAGGCCTCTGGTCCGAGGCAGTGAGGCTATCAGCTACTGTAGCTGAGAGGATGCTGATGATGCATTCAGGGGAACCAAGGACTTGTTTAAATTCAGGGCCAATCGGCGTTTGCAAAGTGTTGGATGTGACGGCGAACACGGTAGCAATTTTGTTTGTACTTGATAATAATTGTTCAAACATTGACTAATTAGACTTAAAACGTTCGTCTCGCAAAGTACAATCAAACTGTGCAATTAGTTTTTGATTTCGTCTACATTTAGTACTCCATGCATGTACCGCAAGTTTGATGTGACGGGGGATCTTCTTTTTGCATGGTGCCAAATTCAGGAATCTGGTGGAACTAAACATGGCCCAGGGTCTAAAGTTTTTGGGTGTCATATCGGGTATTATATGGGGTGTTGCATATGGTGTTCGGATACTCGCCCTTTTCGCTTGGCTTATAAGCTGTACTTTTTCAGCCAACGAACAATATTTTTCTCTCACAACAAATTAACTAACAGTACTTTCAGTCGTACCTTATCAGCCAAGCGAACAGGGCAACTAATAAAAAAACAAATTACAGAATACGTCAGTAATCCGCTAGACGAATTTATTAAGCCTAATTAATCCGTCATTAGCACATGTGTTACTGTAGCACTCATTATCAAATCATGAACTAATTAGGGTTAAAAAATTCGTCTTACAAATTAGTCACAAACTATACAATTAGTTTTTTTTTTTTTTTGTCTATATTACATACATCTAGAGATTCTAAGACCGGGAGTAACTCTAGGGGAACTAAACAAGCCCTAACTCCGATTCCGATCCCCTCCGTGGCAGGTGGCACTCTGGCAGAGTTACACGGCGTCAGGTGAGGGCCACAAAGCATTGCCCGGAATGCCCCTGGAAAGTTGGACCGGAAGGTACATCGTACAGTACAGGTACGTACATGCAAATTATTACTCCTATGCATTGCTGATATCTCGTTTTCGTAAGCTCAGAGTTGGCTTGATCCGGTGTACAGTGTACAGTGTGCTCCATTGTGTGTGATACAGGAGTCTGTGCCTGGATTCCTGTACCATCCAAGTCATCAGTCAGTCAGTCAGCCACTACACTTGCCAACAGCAACACCATGCATGCGATCAATGTGTTGAGAGAGCGTAAACAACAGAAAGGCAACCAGCAATACAAGGGCAATCCTGTAAATGGCCAGCCTTGGTAGCCATGGTAGACGCTGGTAGGGCCTTCTCCAAAGCAACACCAGGAAACCGACGCGGGCAGAGGCGTTAACCAGCTGCCGAGGGCATTGAAACACACCTCACCTACCCATGTTTAATTTCTCTACAGCGGAGTACCCATATGAGGACGTGAGGTTTCAGTCGAGGCCTGACCGGTCAACATCTCGTCAGAATTATATTACACCTAGTAGTGAAGTTGTTAGTTGGAGTATTCATCACTGGGATTATATTCTTGATTGATCTAATCGGCACGCTCATCCACTCAGAGAGGAGTTTTGTCATCTTATTGGAAAAAATCTACTTAACCCCCACCTTTCATACATGGTCTACTTCACCCCCCAACTATGAAACCGTCTGTTTTTACCCCCTAAATTTTCCAAAACCGTCTATTTTACCCCCGGACGGTTTTTGACAGCGGTTGCTACAGTACGGCAGAAAAAATTTGATTTTCCAATTAATTTAAAGCTACAAAAAAAATTGTATTAAAGCATACCGTATTATATATTCATTGTGTAGATCTACTCATGTGGAGTCCAATAAAATTAGATTTTTCATTTTATGATTTTTCTATGATTCACTATGATTTTTCAAACATTCACCGAAAATAAATAAATAAAAATTCAAACCACTGGTACTGTAGCAAACACGCCGTACTGTAGCACCTGTTGTTACTGTAGCAAAACCGCTGCCAAAAGCCGCCGGAGGTTAAAATAGACGGTTTTGAAAAGTTCTGAGGATAAAACAGACGATTTCATAGTTGGGAGTGAAGTAGATCACATATAAAAGGTGGGGAGGTTAAGTAGACTTTTTCCTGGCCGGCGACAGAACACGACCGAGATGCTGTGAGCAAAGCAACTACCTGCTCTCTACTTTCTTTTGGTCCCACGATCAATCAGTCCGGATTATTATATAAGACTTGTGTTCGACGAAAAGATAACCACTACTAGCAGTACCTTCTTCTGGCGGTACCAATATCACATTATATTCTCTTAATGCTGATCACCACCTCTCAAAAATCGGTTATTAGCTCGTGGCAATGTCATACGTGTCTCGTTGTGAACTGCTAGCTGCATTGCAACCTGCCTTTTTAGTACTCTTTGCTTGCTACTCGATCCTAGACTGACTCCAATAGAGTAGGTATAGCGTGGCCTAAATTTAAAATGCGTTGTGCATAGTGTTTTAGCGGAATAAAAACAGCATCCAACAGGGTAGGTAAACACGTGACCCATTTTGGGTGGGAGGTGACGCCGAACGCAAATAAGGGTATTCTCTTCGTCTTTATGCGTCTCCACGCAGGGCCCACCACCCCGAGATCCGCAGAGAGCAGCGCCTCGGGGTCGCCGCACCGAAGCCGGCTCAACGCAGTGGCCAACCTCCTCGCTCGCCCGGCGCCATGCGAGGGCGACAGCGTCCTTCTTTGTGATCGTCGCCAGACACCTTGACGGCGTCGCGCTCCTCGACGCCTGCGACGCCATCGCCGTGCGCCTCGACCGCCTCCGCAGGCGCCGCCTCCTCGCGCGCCTCGCGCTCCACCTCCTCTCCTCCTCCTGAACGTCCGGGTCCACACGGGCTCGCGCGCGCCGCGCCCAACGGCATCCCCATCCTCTGGCGCCGCTCCCTTGTAACACCCTCGGTGTTACGCTTTAATCAAAATACTAAACCATGTCATGAGCATCATGTTTATGTATTATTGCATGTGGTAAATGAGAAATTAAATTTTATTGCACTAATTCTCAAATTGAGCTCTAATTTATTCCTTGTCCAAGTTATCCTTCCAGCACGTCATCTCTCTCCACGTGAGAGGTCCATAGCCACAAAGTCAAATGATAAATTATTGTCATTCACTAATTATTAGCATACCACTTGGCAAGATTTATATCTCCATCAATCTCGCATGACGCCGCCATCGCCATCTATCGTTGTTCTAATTACCCGCTTTGTACTTCGCTTGCTAATCACCTTACAAAATTATCGGTGCACGACGCGCTACCACCGCCATAGTGTGTCGCGACACGCCACGCATTTATATCACTCACAAGCTCAGCCCACCGAGCACTCCGTTCTTTCGCATTTCGGTTGTGCGCAAAGAAACACCGTCACGCAGGTTATCGCCCACCCGTAGAAAGTACTGTTCACTCGTGGAAATCGATGGGCACCCCTTCTACACGGATCATTTGTAGCAAGGCGGAACACATTCACGGCGAAACACGGTTCTCGATGGTTTCAACTTTTCCACACGCCAAGCATCTGTAGCACGAATGCATCATTCACGGTAGCAGCAAACACGTTCATCGAGCCGCATACGAGAAACACCGTGCGCCGCAAAAACACTGTTCATCCGAGAAAATACACCACCCACAGCAATTTGCTTTTGACATGTGGTCTCCTCCATTGATTTTTTTTTTTTTGACCGCTCGTTGCCTCTCGCATGCCCCAACGAACGTCGTTTTTTTTAGTATGCATGTCGATAATCTTTGATGATCCAAGGAAATGAACTTTATTATAATGAATAGGATAAACATAAATATCTATGAGTATTGTTAGAATATAAATAAATTATTAGAGAGCACATGAGTATAAAAATAATTCGATGTGGGTTCAATGTTTATCCACGAATGAACTTGTAAGCACCGTCCTTGAATTACTATCATGTAGTAATTCGCACACAAGCCGCCATTGTTTTGCTTACGAAAGTTGCCACCACCGCCAAGCACGTTTTAGCCCAAAGCCCACTCCGGTCTGACATGCTCGTAAGTCCAAGACCACTCAAAGTTCAATCCTTGAATTAATTCTCTCATGACCAAGACCTCACCACCAAGACACGGCACGGAGGCGGAGGACAACCCTGCCAACTCGTTTCATGCTTCCTGACTACTCATGACCACCCACGATCAGTGCTATATATGGCTCTACTCCACTCCACGTAGGGCAGGCATTTGCTAAGCTCCCTGGTGTCTCTCCTCTTGCATTGCCTCCAAGACATCGATCACCGTGAGGTGGCACTTCATTCAATTCTAAGGTAGCTAGCATGTAAGAATTCCTTCATTCTTCTTTCTTATTTTCTTGACTCGCGGTCTCATCTAGTAATTCTAGACCCACAGGTCATGTGCAAGTCAAACAAGTTCAATTGCGTGATTAGCCTCCTCCAATAATATCATTTTCTTCATCTCTAGAGCTCATTTGAATTTATTTATTGATTGTGAAATAAATTTTGTTAGATTCCTAAATTCATGACCACTGTTAGTGTAATTAGTTCAAGTATAGTTCAAAGTGATACCTTTAGGATTACTTTATTATTTTGAAATGCTCGTTATGGTTATTTAGAGAATAAATTTTTATGATGCATGGTAGCTAGTGCACCTTGTTTTATTATATATATAGTAAATTGATATTAACAATAA